TGAGTTTAGGATAAACCAACAAACCTCGTTTGTCGAAGGCCGTGCAGCTTGTAAAACGACACATTATGTTTTAGTGGCACCTTCTGATATTTGGATCCTTTGCATTTAATAACATATTAATATCTATTTTACTTTTGAAAATAACTTCATTTTGTATTCAGCTTCAATCCTTCAAAACAATCCAAAAAATGGTTGCTGTCAATTGAAATCACTGAATGTTTTAAAGTCCCCATAGGTAATAATAAAATTTAACGTTTACTATGTAATCAGATTTTGGAGGACTGTTGGATGTATCGTTAATTAGTTACTGGTTAATTTATTTCAAAATATTAGTCAAGCTAAGTCAGTCAAGCTTTTTCCTTATTAATTATTTTTTTTAAATCGTCATGTGTAAAATAGGTAATAAAACGATTCAATAAATTACTAACATAATTGTTTATTAACAAATTCGTTCAGGATCATATCACAGATCGCTTGGTGTGGATAATTATTATTAACAAAGGAAGGAAGTAGGGTTAAGGATGAGTATTTTTTGGACTAGATGTTGGGATTAGTGAAGTCGACTTAAGGAGCCTGGGGGATGTGAGCGCCCTGGGGCTGGAAGCCGAGCTCGTTGGCGATGTAGGTGATGGTGTAGACAACACCGTCGGGACCGGTGTATGAGTACTGGCCGCGGACCTCGATGGCCTCGTTCTCAGAGCCGGCGTTCTTCAGCTGACCCTGCTCCTGCTGGGAGATGCCGTTGGAGGTCTCCACACTGAGGGCACAAACCGCACATTTTAATGTGAATGAACTATAGTATGATGGATAACGTATAATCCTGGTTTTAGAGAATGACTGGGTGCTAAGAGACTTTATATAAAGCGGAGACTTACTTGTAATTGTATCCGTCGACTCCGATGTTGTCGCTGTCATAACGGACGACGACGGCGTCGGCGTCGGGGCTGGCGGGAGCGGCGACAGCGGCGGCGACGAAGAGGGCGAGAACGATGAACTGTTGGTAGAAGGCACACTGTTAGAATATGTCCTGCTCACCGGGATGTGGGCTCACTGGCTTGGTCAGAGAGAATCCAATGTTGGTTTTCACTAGATTTAAGTTTGACGTTTCGTAATTTAAAAACTGTTTTATTTAATAAATCCAAACGTACCGATTTCATTTTTGAAGGGTTTTTTGGTTTGTCCTGGGACTGTTTGTAATGGAAAGGCAATCGAGCGACTGATGCCTCTGTGTTGTCGGTCGTGTTATTTATACTGGCGGGCGCATCGTTGCGCGGCGGCAAGGACGCGCTTTGACATTTGAACTTAGAATCGTCTTCGGCCACCGATGGTCGTGGATCTAAAGGTCTTAGTGACATGTCCGGCTTGTTTAGATGCTTCCAATTGATATCACATGGCTGACCTACATAGCTTTAGTGGTATTTATTATTATCATTATCTTATATTATATTCACCTATTACAAATATTATCCATTCAAAGTTTAAAAGCTTTATCGAAATAACTCGGATTGTTTTTACTTTGTTGCAGTTGTAATCTTATGTGATTTTAAGTATCTATCGCTAATTTGTGTCCTTTCTATCGTTTTTAAATTAAGCAAACACGGAAACAAGAGACTGCACGTTTAAAATGTTATTCAGTGATGGTACGTAATCATAAGAAAATATCAGCATCCGCAGGTTTGATGATTAGGTAGTGATAACCGACCACTTTTTGACTCTAATCTCATTTAATTGCAAAAATGGGGCGATCACACGTATACCTTTGTTTATAGTTTGCTTGCAATTATTTATATATCGTTTCACTGTAATTCAAGACGTATGCTTATTGTCTTTATAGTGCATATTCATATATTTATAATACTAAATATAAAGATAAAAGTGATTAAAAAGAATGAAGAGTTAGTTATGCTATTTATAACTCGGATAGGTAGGTAGGTAGGCCAGATAGTATAGGCAGGTAAGTAGGTTGGGCAGTGTATTCAAATGGCGGGAGCGAAGCCTAGTAAGAGCTAGTATTATTATAAATGTATTTTTTTATCATAATGAATCATAAAATTTGGGCCATAGAAGTACAAACTTGTAAATGCGTACCTAAATACGTATACAAGTAGAACAAAGGTTCATACGAAACTTCAGGCCTTCCTTTTCGCTTAGCAGTACGGAGAAATGCCAGCTTTGACTGCAGGTGAGTTAGGATTGCGGATCAAGCGCAAAACTGTAACGCGGCCTCGGCCAAACGCAGGAGAAGAAATGACGTGGTTTTTAGTCAGTAAGAGTCTGACGCTTTCCCTTGCTCCACCCAGGTTGAAGAATTCTCAAAAACATCGAGCTCAGAAAATCGAATAGAAAAAATAAAAAAGTCAATTATGAAAATGGTAGTCAAAGTTGCAATTCGTAAAAAAATACAGGCAACATAATCGTCCTACTGAGACGATTATTAAAAATTTGATCGCTAAATACGCTGTTTTCAACACCAACCCGGTTTCGATTTCGATCAGGGCTTTCAACCCAATGGGTTTTACTGTCAAAAATACACTTTCCGCCCATAATCACTTCAGAATAAACGGGTTTTCTATCCTGTCTGAAAGAATTTTTTTCTTTCCGTACGTTAACAAGCGAAATTCCCTCATTTGGGCTTTTGAAAATCGTGGAACAATGATTGAGAAGTCTTATGCATAATGTGGTATTTTTTGTGAGCGGAAAATCATTAAAATCCTCCTACTTTCCTTCCTCCTCCTGCTCTTGGCTGAGGCCTCAGCAACTCATTGCGCTTAATCCGCAACCCCGGCTGAGCATCAACCCTATAGGGCCTCGTTTGCGGCGCGCGCGTAACGCTACGCGCCGTAAGCTCGGACACAGTTCTGGTCGGGCGAACTGCCCTTACTCGCTGTCAGTAGACCTGCGCTTACGGTGGCCGGAGATCGTCTCTCGATGCAATATGTGGTCTTTTTTAATGTGAGGGGAAAATCATCAAATGATTTTCCCGCCCAGGGCAGGGCGGGAGGCAGTGTCAGACTCTTACTGACTTAAAACCCCTGTTCCTTCTCCTGCTCTGGGCCGAGGTCGCGGTGTCTCATTACGCTTACCCCGCAACCCCGGCATTATGTGGTCTGAGGGTGTGACTGAGCCGTTTTTTTTCGAAGATGAAGCTGGAAGTGCCATAACTGTCAATGGATCATGCTATTGCGAGATGTACAGCTATATTTTGACCAATTATTGTTGACGTGGATATAACTAAACACATAAGACTACCACGTACACTAATTGAAGAGATGTAAATGTTTTCATGTTTTTCATATAAGTATCTTTGTGACATGATAGCTAAACGGATAAATGTCTGGAAGTGCATAATGTTTTAAGTTGTTAATTTTACTCACATATACCTAACAGAAAAAATACTGTATTAAAGATTAGCATTACTACGTTATTAGTGCAGGAATAACTTAATATAAAAAATATTTAATTAAAGAATTACTTAATACGTATTTTTTTCATAAATGTTACTTCTCTTTAGACTTTATTTCTATGTTTATGGATTCGTTTAAAAATCATTTTAACTTCATTAAGAACAACATTCAACAACAACAACTACATACAACTTGTATTTCGTTAGGTCTCTTCTATTATCCTACAATTTTAAACCTGAAATTCTAACTTAGTTTTCTTCGATGATAATGACGATTGTCAATATGATGATGACTGCACGGTTGGCGCGGTGCCAGGGCAACTGGAGCCGCGCAACGTGTCGCGGGTTCGATTCCCGCACGGAACAAGTCTTTGTGTAATCTATAAGTTGTGGTTCCGGGTCTGGATGTGAGGTGTATCTGAAATTGTATATTTGTAAACGCATCCACGACACTTCACAAACTCCTAGTGAGGGGCAACGTTTTTTTTCATTTGAAGACAAAAAAAGCAACCTTAAACCTAAGCTAATAGTTAAAAAGTTCACTTTTGAACGCTTTTGTTTTATTAGAATAGCATTACTAAGCATACCAGACCATATTTCCACTATAGTCTCCGTAATCCTTAGATATCAAAGATCCTAAACAACTTTCAGAGTATTGCCAAACCATTCAAAAGTCATTGACCTTGATTTTTAAATTACTCTGAAGATGTAATAAGCAACATTTAGACTTCCTTGATCCGTATCTTCCTAGCAAAACCACATCAAACCAAAACTTTAAACATAAGAAAAAAATATTGATGATACAAAGGTTCACAAACACATCTGACATTCAGCCTCCTGCCTGATGTCATGGTAGGCTTAAGGAGAATCTTTTTTAGTGTCTCTAACCGTAAGTAAATTATTGTGAGTATAATCTTTTGGAAACAATGAAACAATGAATTTATTTTTGCAAGTAGGCCATAAAACGGCACTTTTACACGTCAATTTGTATGTGAAAAATTAGATGCATTTCCTATTTGACTACTCTGAGAAGAAATGCCGAAACAAACTCAGAGGTCAGTCTCTTTTCAAGTCCAGACAATGTAAAAATAACATAATGTGAGATTGGTTTCGTCTTTTCCGTTTGGTTTTAGAACTCATAAAATAGACGAGTGTCACAAATTATTATATTATAAGTCTGTTGCAAAAGATGCGGCAACCTTGGGTTAATTCATGAATTAATAAAATTGTGAAACATACATATGCTTCCACATCCATTGATTTTTGACCAAAATTGGATTCTCATAAATATTTTTATCCATTAGTTTATTTCCTTTATATGTATTAATTACATAACGATATGGATCTTCAACTAATGATAGCCAGCACCCTATTTCCTATTTTATACATAGGAGAACAAAAAAAATAAGTATGTCGTTTCATGTGCTGACTGGGGTATAAATATGTAGTAATGATGTACCGTTTGGTTTTGGTTTCTATAGCCTATATAGTAATAGTAAATAGAATAGACAATAAAACGATTCAATAAATTATTAACTTAACTGTTTATTAACAAATTCGTTCAGGATCATATCACAGATCGCTTGTCGTGGATAATTATTATTAACAAAGGAAGGAAGTAGGGTTAAGGATGAGTATTTTTTGGACTAGATGTTGGAATTAGTGAAGTCGACTTAAGGAGCCTGGGGGATGTGAGCGCCCTGGGGCTGGAAGCCGAGCTCATTGGCGATGTAGGTGATGGTGTAGACAACACCGTCGGGGCCGGTGTACGAGTACTGGCCGCGGACCTCGATGGCCTCGTTCTCAGAGCCGGCGTTCTTCAGCTGACCCTGCTCCTGCTGGGAGATGCCGTTGGAGGTCTGCACACTGGGGACACAAACCGCACATTTTAATGTGAATGAACTATAGCTTAATGGATTGGGTGCTAAGAGACTTTGTATAAAGCGCAGACTTACTTGTAATTGTATCCATCGACTCCGATGTTGTCGCTGTCATAACGGACGACGACGGCGTCGGCATCGGGGTTGGCGGGAGCGGCGACGGCGGCGGCGACGAAGAGGGCGAGAACGATGAACTGTTGGTAGAAGGCACACTGTTAGAATATATCCTGCTCACCGGGATGTGGGCTCACTGGGTTGGTTAGAGAGAATCCAATGTTGGTTTTCACTAGATTTAAGTTTGACGTTTCGTAGTTGAAAAACTTTGTTTTTTAACAATTCCAAACGTACCGATTTCATTTTTGAGAGGTTTTTTGGTTTGTCTTGGGACTGTTTGTGTTAGGATTAACAGCTGTCGACTGAATGATGCCTCAGAGGTGCCGACACTTAAATTTCTGGTGGCGGCGAGCACACGATGCCGTCATAGGTGTGTGGAGGTGGTAACGTACATCATTTGGGCAGTCCGATCGATAACCTTACCAAAAAAACAGCGACTAGAGAAAGTAAAAATACAAAAGAATGTCACGTGTATCAGCATATCGTTTACTCCTTGATTATGTTAAGATGTCAACTAGCTTCGGGCGATGACCATATTATATTTTTTTCGTCATTTAACTATTTATTATAGTTATGAAATAGCTCGCGTTATAATTATCGCTGATAAAGTGATTGTAGTCCTGTTTTTATTAGGATCTTGAGAATAACAATAATAATTATTATTTAATTAATGTTTTTTTATGAAACAAGGCAGCTTGTGACGAGCTGTTGGGCAGTGGCGATCTTACGGACCTGAATCCCGGGAGGTGTCTTGTTCTTCTCTCTCCGGTCAGTCTTTCTTAACTAGCCGGAGTGGAAACTGATGAGGAACAAGCCCTCCTACTTCATTCTTGCCTTCCCCAAGCAGCTCAATGTATGTTGCCTCCGTGTCGCTACATGCTAGCCGCCGTTTCCAGAGGCATATTAATTGAGTTTGCTAGTCATCCCCTGCCTGTTTACCCATATGTATCAATATTGGTCAGGGGCAGAGGCCTTAGTTCGTCTATACTTAGTTATCATATAAGTCAATAGGTATCATATCAGTCAGCATATCTACCACTCCATAGCCACCCACACCATATTGCACAATAGTACTGCAAAACCGGGGGTTATCTATAGGGATATAATTACCCCAATAGTGCATACAGGGATAATTGCCGGATGATGTCCCATCACATTTAGGTTAAAACAGTTCAACGGGCGTTTGCGAGTTGTCTTCAGCTAGTACTACCTTCTTACATCTGCATCATGTTTACTATAAGAATCTCTATTTCAATCCTAAATAGATATTATTTGATATTTTGTTCCCGACGTTATCAATCATACATAGTATACAATTTTAAAATGTACTAATAATTAATCGATGGAACTCGCACAATATTCCATAATAGGTACCCTCGTACCTAATTAATAACTTACAAATTATATAATTATACCTAAACTGACCAAAAGGTATTATGTGTTTACATTTTAGGGTAGTATATAGTGACGTCAACGTCTTAAATTTGTGGTAAAACACCTAGGTTCTGTGCAATGACTTCATTAACAATTATCTTAGCTAAATAGAGCCCCTTCTAAGCGTTACCGCATACTTGGATCTTGAGTTTCTTTCGTTCGAAAAACCGCAACCTTCGCGGGGTCCCACAGAGTATAGAGTTGTCCTTTGCTTCGCAATCAAGTCGTACGAATTAAAATGGACAAATGATTTAAATGCTATATACCTTCTTCGAAAAAAAGGTTGGTTTCCTAAATGTTCTTGGATTTTTACTTTTTATTAAGAATTTGATATCCCGTGTACGTACATACAGTTTATGTAGATAATAAAATTAAAATAAAGACGTATTTTTTATCTTCATACATATATATTTATTCTCGAAAACACCCATCTCTTAATGTAAGCGTTAAAGTTCTCTCAATTATGTGAAGAAAAAAAGACATAGTTATTTTATTATATTACATTTGAATTTAAATTACAGCGTAAATGTTTTACATATAAACTTTTGATTACTGAGATGGATCAATAAGTTACTTAGATGTGCATGATGACCTACATGATGATCTTTCAACCTATGCAGAGCCTGGCTATAACCTGGCTGTAAGGATTGCAACCATACCACACAATTATGCCAAGATAGATATTTAATTTAAAGCCGACGTTTACTTTATATAATAAAGGCCTCTTAATAAATTTCTATTAATTAGAAAGTGACTGACTTTTTTTTAGTCTCAGGCGTAATTCCCTGCTCGGATGCAGCATTGTTGGTTTATGTTTATTTCAGTTGTTGTTTTAAGCTTTAAATAATTATAATTTCAACATTTATTTAGTCCCAATATAAAAAAAAACTAATAGTTGTTGAAAAAAAAATATATAAGTAAATCATAATGATCGTGAGAAAATATATTTAATATTGCACGCAGAAAAAAAAAGACCAATGACCAACTAACAATTAACTATAAGTAATATTCTCACTGGCCGTACGTATATGGACGCTAATTAAAACTTGTGAACATCCGACATTTTTATTATTAGTTGAGACATTGCTAGTCAACTGGTTTTACTCAGGGGTCACGAACCTTAGGACCACTCTGCTTGCAAACCTCAACATGAACTGCGTAAGTAGGTGGCGAAATAGAAATTATATGTATTTAAGTATCAAATCCATCATACATATATCATGTCGTGTATTTTATGAATAAAATGTATATTTGCAAATGTTAATTGCTTTTAAGATTTGTTTCATAATTTTCTTACTGTTGCATTAACATAGATGTTACCGCCATAACCGATTTTAAGATGTCATTATTTTAACTACGGAATTTAAGGATACAAGGAATGTGTTATAAATAAACAATGTTAACTAAAATCAAGAAGGTGAAATCGACGTCAATTATCAATAAATCCGTCGCTTTTTGAAAAAAAGTTCATAATATTAACATTTTGTTCAAGAAGCAGAAATATGTAAAAATATAAATCTATACCGTAAAGGACCAAGAAAACTAAAAATCTAGGTATAAGTCACACAATTGTTAAAAAAATAATATTATTTCAAGGGCGTCAAGGTTGCCAATCCCTCTTAAAATGTGAATACAGGTGTGACACGGACACAGACAGCGCAGTCATCTGCTTGCGACAATATTGTTGATTCATCTCCACTTGCAGCTTTCAACGGATGGCAGTTATGACTCAGGAACAAGATTCAAGGCCGTGAGAAACATTATCATTGTGGTGTAATTGATGTGTAAGCCTTATGTAATAGAATAGAAAAGAGAATGTTCAGTCCTGTCAAAATGTAGGTATGTCTTAGTGATGTAGGGTATGCTAATATTCCTTGGCACTTGTCTTTATGGGCTAACTGACTGATTACCTGGTGGTACACAATCGGCTCCGCCCATGGACACTCGCAACACCAGAGTCATTTCACGTGCGTTGCTTGCCTTTTGGGGATCTAGTGATTTAAGGATTGGAGAGGAGAAGGAGAGAGGCCCAACCTCTCTCCTTCACTCCTCCGGTAATCTCACTCATACGGCGTAATACATCAAAGAGATTGTTTTACACCGGTTTTCTGTGAGGCTGTGGTATCATTTCAGTGGAACCGAACCATTCGTGCCGAAGCTAGGCTCTCCCACACTTAAAAAGTACTTTTGCCTTCAATTTTATTGTCCTTTACAATATTTTTATTTTATGTGAAAGAATAAATAATTGGACCAGGCGGCCTAATGGAAAACTGGCATGAAACAAGTTGTTGTGTTTCGCCATTCTAGTGACTCCATACTAGATACCGGGTCCTGTTCTTCCACCATCCCAATACACAAATCGCTATTCCCTAAACCTAAAAGGACGACAGTGCATTTGAAACCTCACTCTGCGACGGCGAATGCCTACCATCAGGCAACTAATTTAATTGTTCGCTATAAACAAAAGAAATTTGGGAGACCTACTTACCTACTTAGTATTATTGTTTTTTTTATACTTCGTCCTACAGGAGAAAATTAAAATCAAGAATCCCTTTCAACCCGCAAACGTAAAGGAATTCAAGACCTTCGCGATTAGTCATACCCGTATCCAGCATGTGAGAGGAGCAATCAAATACTTGAGATATATATGGCATTACCAAATTCAAAGTTCAGAAGCTTTACATCACGCCATTACCATATAATTTCGTATTTCGGGATCGTTAAACCAAAAACAGTAGAATCGTGCCTTCATTAGCAGGCAGGATATTTTATGGCTTCATTTATGAGAAGCAGCCCATTGTTCGGCTATGACTATCGAAATGCTTCTAATTATAGTCCAAAGAGCCGGTTTGACCAGACTGTTACCATGGTATCACAGAAAACTGGCGTCACCAGAGGCTCAATGCCTCAACGAAAATCCCTAACAAGCCCCAAGACGCTGGCAGCAGGTATCACAGGTGTACATAGGTGGTCAGTCTGTCTGTTTGCCGCCCTATAACATAAAAAACAATACCATAATGCAGGTCCAAAGCCTCCCACAAAGAAGTATAAATAAGGTTAATGTAATTTGAAATTACTGAATTACAATTGTTACATTGTTACAGATGTTTTTCTTAAATTAATCAATCATGTTATCGTACCCGCGATACAAACATTCTTGTAACTACAAAACAGACAAAGCATTAAAAAAGATATTAACATTTGATTTTTCAATTAATTGTGTAATATATATATACCTATATCCGGACATTCATTGCCAAGTAATCAAAGAAATCAATTAAACACTAGTCAATTAAGTACTAGAAGAAGCGCAACCAAGAATACTTGTATTGTATATCATTTGTAATAATATAATTCGGTTATTAATCCATTGTGTGCTGTACAAATAAACAGTACTAATGAATTGTAATATGTTATTTGAAGTTTTTGTGCACGAAATGGTTAACATTCGCTTCCTATATTATAATTCACTGACAGCTGTATAAAGATCAGGAATCATTAGGATTGATTTCTGTGATTGTGTGTGTGTTTCATATATTTTTTTAATATCTACTTCCTTTATAGACTTGTCTTGTTGCGACTCCCAAACAAGGAGTTTTATGGTCGATTCCCGAGTTAGGTATGTCAGATTTTTTGGAAAAGTCTCAATCATGTCGTGATATTGAAAATAGTTTTTATCGCAAATTAATTGGCTTAACCATCTTATAAAAGACTCATGATCTAACGGTTTAATTGGGTGTAACACTGAAAATGCTTACCTCTGCCGAAGTGTTCGAGGACGAACATCATTATATTAAAGGTGCGACAAATACTTACGTGTTGAGAAGTCCATTTCTTATTTACTTTTATGAGACCTATTCTTTATATAAGAAAATCATCAAATGACTTCTTGGGTTGGGAAGGCGCTAAGAATAACATGAATGCATCCGTTATTATAATATGTTAAATTCAAATACTATATATATATG